TATGTTTTCCAAGGACTATGAAAAAGGTCCTCGGAAGGTGTGTATGTCCTCGGAAGTAGCTATATATCTGTATTTTTGTCCTCGCAACATATAGCAATCCAAGTACACACATACACACACACAGACACACTAACTGCAAAGACTCCCATTATGTGCTTCGCACATGGGAGTAAAAAACAAGGAGGCTGCCAGTCGGCCATCTTTGATCCAATTGTGAAATAAATCGTCATGGACATGTATCCTAACATGTATAATCTATGTACCAAGTTTGAATGAAAACTGACAAAGCATGTCCAAAATACAACATTTTCAAAAAACAAGATGGCTGCCAGTCAGCCATTTTGAATCGAATCGCTAAACCACTGCATGTGCATATGTCCCACATAAAGTACTAAGCACATGCAAAAAATGAACGGAATCGGTCCAAGGGATTCTGAGATACGACTCCGGACGGACGCACAGACAGAGACCGAATTATAAGTTCCCGTTTTCGGACTTCGTCCGAACGGGGACTAAAAAAATAAATCAGTCTGAATTGCATTCTAATTTTTGAAGAGTGTACATGTAATAACAAATTTTATTTTTCGTCTGCTGTTACTAAAACAATTCTGAGATGTGACTTAGCCAGTGAAAACATGGCTTAGATTAAAACAATTTGTCATAATGTCAACATACATCAATCTAATCTGCTGAAAAATGATACATGCATTCACACCAGTGTTCTTCAACATTCCACAATTGGGCGAAAAAATAAAATCACATATTGATGAAAAATATTTAGAAAACCTTACTTATTAGAATCCAATGCTGTCAGCCCATCTTCATTGGAAACTACAACTTTTAATGGAGGTAAATTCAATTTAATAGTGTTACCATGGTTACTAGCAGTCTTCCCCGACTCATCATCGCTAGATTCAGATTCCTCCTCTTCTTGGTTTGCTGTAACCATCATAAACATGTGACCAGCATCGTAGATCTGAGAATGCATTTTTAACGATTAGATAATAACTTCTTCTAAGACAGAATATAGAATAACTTTCTAATTAAATTGTCATACAGTGTGTATGTATTCTAAAAATGACATCAATATTAAGGCAAAAACGAGTGATTCCGAAAACATACACTTCAGAAACAGGTAGAATAGGATTCTAGCTCCTTACCATAAAAACTCTACTTTCTTTTAATTGCTAGAACATGTAGTTGGTAAAAATAATAGTTTCTCAAGTTTGAATTAATATGATACAAACGGAAATTATTTTATATTGTGCACAAATAATAGAAAATTGTTGGTTGATTCAATAAATAGTAATTAATTTTTTTTTTTTTGATGAAAAATCAGATATACATTGTAACGTTTGGCATGATACAATCTAGCAGGTTTAATGAGAATTTCACACACAGTGAAAGTGTTGTTCCAATGGACACTAGTGTCTTTGGTTAAATTTGTTGAAAAATGTGTTTCTAAAGCCCCTTTCACAATTGGCGCCTCACTCATGCGATAATTTTTTTTTTCGAAAATATTTTTTCCGTCCTGTTGTAGAAGTGTTGTCTTTGAGTCGCAAGCAATATATAAAATCGTACGAGAGGTGAACGACCACTGCACCAGGATACAACAGTCGTGAGACATAATCGTGTGATTATTTTCATGTTTCCGGGTGCAACAGTCATACAACGGCTGCAAAAGTTGAACGATAATGCGACCAAGTCGCACGACATATGCGTTTTGTAGCGCCATATGTCGCGCGACCTAGCGACCCATTGTACGACTACTACAACCGATCATACAAGGCTACGATCCATTGTGCGACACACCGCACCACCTGTCGCACGAGGTGTTGGCCTATAAATACGACACGCGATGCGACTTTCTTCATTACAACCGCTGATGCCTGACGAGACGCTGCTACAGCAACTCCGTCATCAGATTATCATACTGTCCAAGCAGCACACGTCTCTCAATCCAGGGTTTGACCCACCACCTTCATCTTTGCCTTGCATGTCTTTGACGTCTACGGATGAGTAAGACCATCAATATGACATGTCTGTCTTGAACGTTTTGGATTTGCCTTCTCAGACTTAGCAAATGCAAGAGCCTCCCAGGAGCTATTGGGCAAGCAGCAGCCATGTTTACAGTATGGATGGTCCAGACATTTGGGACGAAAGCTCAGGAGTTCTCGAGCTTATATTGGGGGTGAAAAAAAATCGTACAACGTTGCAAAGGGGGCAAGACAGGTCTTCCAATAGTATTAGGGTGGTACAACGGACTCGTACCACAGGACGCATCATCGTACGACATGAAAATACTCGTGCAACACTCGTTCGGGGTCTTACGAGTGCGTGCAAAGTCGCACAACACTCGTACTGCCTGTCGTGCAATTATTTTTCATCGCGTCAGTCGCTCAAAATATCGGAGCAGCACGTTTTTTTTTCCCCGACCGAGATGCAACCATTTTGTCGCATCTGGATCGTACAATAAGTGGTACAACGTCTACAACGAGACGTACAACGGGAAAAATTTCGAGACGCAAGCCGCTGTAGTCTGTTTGGCAACAATTGTGAAAAGGGCTTTAGTTCACTGTTGAAAGTGTTTCTCATCTTCAATTTCACTATTTTGACAGATTTGGCAATTTCTGTCAGACACATTTAATTTGTATTTAATGTATCTACCAAGTTTCAATTAATGTGGATATTAAAAAAAGTGCAGACAAATTTGGGCGAGAAAGTCTGGTGGTGAAAAGGTAAGTGAGTTTTTCAAATGACATTTAACTTCTCCTGGGCTACAGTGTGGCTGCCGCCCTCTATTGGCAGATTTGAAATGTTCTTTCTTAGAATGTTGGAAGAGCCTCGCGAAACAAACAGATCAAATAGCTTCACCTTCGCGGCGGTGTGCCATTACGCATAGAAAATAGTTCTTTTTGTTTCATGAATTTTATGCATTTGTAGACTCCTTGTTGTGTTTGGGGTCTTTTATTGATAGTAATAATTATTTTGTGTTGTATTTTGAATACTTTTACTCATTACTTATTTGATCTTTCTGAGTGACTTGCCCTATTGTATCCATTTGCCTTTTTGCCATTTGTTGATACATACTAGACAAGAAAGCTGTTTTCTGTTATGTCACTGTGAATTTCGGATACTTTCGATTATCCCAAGGCTTTACAGGTCGCCAATGAGGTAAATATGTGCCCATAATGTATCTGTTGCATTTACACTATTTTCGCCTTCTTTTTGTTCAAGATTTATCTTGTTATCAAGTATTTTAGATGTTTTGAGTAGATCGGAAAAACGGTCATTTGTTACTATTATTCGACATACATAGCATATCGTTACCGTTAAAGTCCTATTATAAACCGCGGTTTATATTACAATGTATCAATTTAAAAATTGGGATCAAAAGCTCAAGTTCGGGGTGCGGTTTCTATTACGTACATATTGCAATCACTAAATGGGCGTGGTCATTTTTTGTCCACAACACATGCACAAAACAAACAATACACCGTACAATCTCTTGAATAGGCGTCGGGGAAAAGTGAAAGGCCTTATTTTGGTTCTAAAATCGGCGTTACGAAATGTTGAAAAATTACAGTCAATCAAAAAAAAATTCTACATGATACAAAAATACTCAGTATTTTTAATGTAATATGCATTTATTTTTTTAATTTTCTTGGTAACGAAAAGTATATTCTAACAGAAGTTTCAAATAAAAACACGAATGCACTGCTTAGTAGCAAATGATCACATATAAACGGTAGCTCGATCCGGCCATGCTGCTGGTCACAAGTGAATAACTTACTTGTTTTCGAAGTGTTGATATTGGTGATTATTATTTAGTAGTGATTACAATAACGCACGAAAAATAAATTCGTTGAATTGTTATAAAATGCAAGTAAAATTCAACTTAGTTTCCCCGTAAGCGAATGATTTCAGTCACATGTAAACAGCCGATACGATATCCGCCATGCTTTTGAATGCTCACGTGACGTATTATTGATCGGATAGGTCAAGTCGCCCACGTGTCTAAATTACATAGCTCATTTAAATATGTTAATGACAGTTCAGCGACCTCATGGTGAACGCAACACGGAAGAGATTTACTGATAATGTAGTGCGATCTTTTTAAATCAAGAAATTATTTGTTTTCGAAAGATAAATTATTCTTCAATGCTCAGTTTAACACTTTTACGGTGATAAATGCTCATTGTCTAAAACTTACTAAACACAGACGTATTCAGAAAGAGTATTGACAGAGGTTGCCGCCAGAACAAAAGCAGTTTCATTGCCTGTCTGACATCTTATCACCGCTGAACAATAAATAGGTGTGAATATTTTTAGGCATGTTGTCGAAACAAATGAATAGGACTAGGAACAATGCCGTTTTGGAACAGCTGGTTGAAACAATGAAGTCAGTTCACGGTCTTGTTGAATTGGGGGTGCGGTTAGTAATAGGTACTTTTCAAGTTTTCATTTTTGTTAAGAACTCTTTAACCCCGAAGCCGGAATTGGGGGTGCGGTTACTATTACGTATGCGGTTTATATTAGGACTTTAACGGCACTATAAATTGCTACGTTATTGTTATTTGTATTTATCTGTATTTTTCAGTTTTTAGGGAGCTTAAGATTGTGAATACGATGTTCATGAATGTGCTTGGTTTTACACTACTGATCGTTCGCTGTATAGTGTTAAGCAGACCTGCACTGTTGCTTGAATAAATCACATCTCCAGTATACGAAACTCTTGTAGACTTGTCACTTTAAAGTAAAGCTCTTGATGATACATACTGGACTATCAAATTATCTGTACAAACGCAGCTTGCATTAGAATTTATAGAAAATTTATGTTGGTTTGTCTTTGTCATTTTTTTATCATCTCGCAATTCAATTAACATCTTTAAATCACGCGAGCTCTTAATTGCAGACCATACATTTGCATACCCTTTTATTATAAATGATTGATATTGTGTATTCTCGGCATTTTATTTATTTTTTATGTCGTTAGTGGCGCTGTACACCCACGCTGTCAAATCATAAATGCCCGTCGACAAGCGTGTGACAAGATTGAAAACCTCACCTGATTTTGCAATTTCTCGTGAAGACGTCTCCAGTAGACTCGTGGCACACCAGATGTCAAAAGCTGAATTTCGTGCAAAGTACAGAACGCACCAAAACCGTCATCGCCCCGAGCATCGCTACTGTCGACACCAAACAGATCGTCCATGCTGATTTATTGTGCCGCAAAAGGGTGATATTATATTTAGTCGTGAAATAACGTTTAACTACAATACAGTTTTATTTTCAGTACAATTGTCTGTGCGTTATATCTATTAAATATGATTCTTGTCTGGCAAACATTTTAATACATTGAATAATTAGTTTCCTAACTCGTTGGAATGTCGTTATGGCTGTCGCAAACCGTGCATTATATATGCAAATATTATTGATCTAGAGTATTTCTGTGTACGTTGTGTAAGCGGGACATTCAGTTCTTTGTTGTGGCTAGTTAGCTGCTAAAATCGAAAGACATTTCGTCCCACTAGGTAAGAATTTCATTTATATCGTCTTTGAACATTTAATGTGTTAATTTCAGTGAACTCAGTGTCGCATTTAAAACATCCAGGGCCCGGTACAACGAACATTACATTACAAATACAATGCCAGTATGTAGTTACGTATCATTGCGTTGGGGTTTCTGCACAGTACTGGAAAAAAACTCCTCTTCCCTCCCTTTTGTTGGTACGGACATGTGCGGGATAGAGCAAACTCGAATGACTTCATCACGCTGTTATAACGATAATTGTTATAATTTGAGTCTAAGATTGCAAACACGCAAAGACGACATTTGTCATGTCAAGTGCCCCAACTTGGCCTTCAATGGGTTGTAGTAGTACAAGTACTTAGGGGTAGACCATTATTTATGCGGGGATGTGGTAAAATTAATAGTGGGGACATTTATTTAAAATGTTTTTGTTGTACAATTTAATTAATGCATATTTTCATATTTGTGGTTTTATTATAATAGCTGCCTGGCATCCGTAAAAGGTTCTATAATTGTCCCAAGCAAAGGTAAACAAATTTATTATTTTTTTGTAATTAAAGCGAGAGGGTCATCACCTGCGCATACACAGTCCCAAACAATGATAACAACACACGCTAACAACGCAAAGGCTCATGGGTTGACGCTTGTTTGTAAACAACGACACGCTATGGCCATCTGACGCATGCGCGGGTGACGACTCCCCCGCTTTAAGATTATCATCACCTCAACAAGGTTGATTTGTATCAGTTTTAAACCCAGAATGACCTTACATTGTACTCGCTTCATCGTAATGCAATATTTAAAACCACTGTAACTGAGGTTGAAGAAGATTGTTTAATTTTATAAATAATAATTTTATAATAATAATAATTATAAATAATGTACATGGTCCGGTGCCATAATTTGTATGTGTAATCCTAGTCCATGGACTTGTAGACTCACCTCTGTGCATCATTACCTTCACAATGTATCGCTGACATGTCTAGAACACTCAAAATACACTAGTACATCATGTTTCAGATATGCACGATTCAATTCAAGTTGGCCAAATATTTGTCATTTTAGTGCTGTTTTGGAACAGGATTCTGGATTTTGGTCAAACTTGGTACATTCATTATAGAACTTTCATGCATATAACTTCACAGATCGAATCAAATTGAAACTGGTCAAGTTGTGGCCATTTTGTTGTCTGTGATTGACTCTACATCGATCATATTTCAGTAATTACAGCTTTGATTTCTATTGTCACTTCATTAATATATATCACATTTTTTCTCTTGTACATTGTGTATTTTTAGAAATCATGGTCAAGGTGTTCAATAATTTAATTATGTTCATTTTATTTTAATCTCATCAAAGATTGATAATTTCATCCTTGGGGTAAACTAGAATGGATAAAGAAGAGATTGTTAGAAATGCATTGTCAGAATTCTTACAAAGTAACTCAGGAGCTACCTCAATCAGGTACATGTATAAATGTAAATCATTGCATATACCCATACATGTCACAGTGATTCAGATGATCACATGCGTTTAGTCAGCCACCTGTCTGTTTGTCATTTTAGACAGACACTCTACATTTTAAACAGGTGCTAAATTTCATTTGACTAGCAAAATATTTACAAACCTGTCCAATTTTTCATTGTAAAATTTGCTGTAAATATAAAAATGATTATAAATTATCAACAAAAAATAGACTATGGCTACATACTAGTAACTGCTATTTTTCATTGTGATAATGTTCTTAGGCAGACACTTTTCAATTTTCTGGCTATAACACTAACAATAAAAATTTGCTGAAATTTTATCAAAATTTTGTTCAGTCATTTCAGACAAATGGCCTACATTTGTAAGGATTTTCTGTTAAATTTGCTGTTTTAATATAGTTAGAAATTTCCCATAATGCTTGTTACCAATAGGGGATTCTCCGTTCAACTGCGAGATCTCGTGAGTTGCATGATAGAAGCGCATTGAACGTCTGCCGCAAAAATTGAGTGATTTGATTTTGAACTTGAATTTCTTTATTTCGTAGCTCATATCAACCGGGCTGATCTTCGACAGAGGAATATTGCTTTCAAAAACCCTTACTTAATCAAAATTGCCTATAATCAAATGTGGACAGCACATTATTAAGCATGGAAATATCCCCAAAATACTTTCGCGCTTGTCGAATCCCACGCGATGTTTGACGCCACTACGACGCTATGACCTTTGTTTGTCCTGTTTTTACGTTTGATTTCACGCATAACGCGTGATTCTCGCAGTGAACGGAAAATGGTCAATTTGAACAACATTCATCAACTCATTTTGCGACAACTAAATTCTTGTGTCAGTATAGTATGTCCATCTGTTTCATTTTCATTGTATTGTTTGGCTTCCTCTAACCCTTCACCAGTCATCAGTGGCGAATTCTATTTAGATTTGGATACTTTAAATTATGTCACTTTTTAATTATTCAGAGAAAATTGTCAATCAATTTAAGCATGTCATCATCCAGAAAAAGGTACATTTACATTGAAGACAAGGAAAACGTACATTTCAGTTTCCAATTTCATGACAAATTCATTTTTCATTTAGTAGATAAGTAGATAATTTGAAAACTATGTAGTACATTGTAATAGCCTATTTGGCTAGAACTACATTGTCCTTAGTGTCATTAGTGGAAGTCTGAAATTGCTAGGTTCAGTCTACTTGCCGCATACATGAATAACCATGGTACATGTACAGACAGAAGTCTAAGTACTACAAGAAACAAAAAAAAAAACATCTTTTATACTTTTACTAAATGTGTGCATGTTCTTGTTTTCACAGCACAATTGATGACATTGTTTTAAGTTATTTAGTTAGTGTTTTAGAAGATTTAGACACAGAAGATGAATTTGATGTTGATGAGTTCACTGAGATGATGGAAGCATACATTCCAGGGTTTGCAGATATCAACAGGTAAAATAAAAAGTGATTTTTAAATATCTATTATTTAAAATTGTCATACTTGTCATACATCTATTGTCAGCACATAAAATTCATTATTGACTTACAGTTAGTAATTAAATCCTTGTTTTCTTTATTACGCATGCATAGTTTTAGTATTTACAAAATCAAAACATAAAAATAGCACATATGCCAAAACCTAAAATGTGTGTCTATGGTTAAAATAAGTAAAACTATTTTTTGGTTTGTTGCTATTGTTCTAACAGTCGACTTGTATCTTCAATAGTGGATGTTTTTTGTTCAATATTCACTTGTACTAGACAAGTACTCTGTTTTAGTTCCAAACAGTATTCATTTACTCGTTTTGTTTTTGTTTTCAACCATGTCCATAGACTGGGGATTTTTCGGAACTAGTTTCTCATATGTATTAACTACATGTATCAGTTGATGGCTGTTCGAGGTCTCAGCTGAAGTAAACAATCTTGGTCACAGTTTTCTTGAATCAAGACCCAAAATTGGTCAATAACTACCATTAGTGTCCTCATAGCTGTATTTTAACTAGTGATGTTTTAATGATTTGCTACACAACAAATGTGATTTTTCGGGTATATGCAATATTACATGTATTGAATGTATGTGTACCTTTATAATTGAGTAAATATAGTAATGTTCAGTTCAGTTTATTCAGTATAATAAAACATATAGATGTAGTTATAGTTACCTCAGTATCAGTTAATATTCAAGTCGTCACCTGCGCATGCGACAGACTGCCATAGCATGTCATTGTTTACAAACAAGCATCTACCCATGAGTCTTAGCGTTCTTAGCGTGCGTTGTTATCCTCAGGTGACACCCCTCCGATAACAGTTGCAATAACCATCAAAGGAATTATTGACCTCTGCTGTGCCTTGATCAATAATTTTATTTTTGGTTCATAAATCCACTCTGGTAACTGCCATTTTGTTCTATTAATAGCACCAACACTTACATAAACTAGAGAGTTATTTAAAGCAAGGGTCAATATAATGATTCAGTGTACAACAAATAATAATATACCGGTCTATATAAGATTTGTTATTAGTCCATGTTGAGATGAATTATGCGTGTAGATTTACCTCTGTGTTTCATGGTGGCTGCCTGGTGGCCATTTTAATGCTCAAGATGCACCTAAATCAGGCATTACTGTTTTTCACCAGAACTGTTTCTTGGAATAATTTGCATAGATGAATTTCATTCCATTTTACTGTATTTTGTTTCAGTGCTCAAATCTGTGAGTGGATGTTTGAACTTGCAGAAAAACTATCAGGGCACAATGAGAAAGGTAATTTCTTACACAATAATGAAGAATTTTTTGTTCTAAGTTTTCAACGATCTTTTTGTGTATAATTTTAATTTAAATTAATAAATTAGCTGTGTTATGTATCATGTTTAGAAATAAAGGTTTTCTGTAAGTGAGAAAGATGACTGAGTTTTTTTTCACCTTTTTCTTTGGCCACTCAGAGAATACTCCTCCAAGTACTGAGGCGCAAAGGTTTAATCATAAAGAAATTCCTGATGCAAGTACCTCAACAGAATGCAGTGGAACACTTCAAGAGCAAAATACCTCACTAGAAAACACAGCTGACTGTGAGAGCACATTACACACTAAATCATTTACATGTATACAGGTGAGTCATTGGGTCAGAGATTTTTTTAAAGAAGGGAACAGGGCCGCAGCGCCCTCATGCCGTGGCCATGCGCCCCCTTACCCTGAGGAGCAGATCTTCTGGCAACCATAAAATTCTGATTGACTAGGGATCACATGTGGCCACAGTCTTCAACTGTGTCCTGTCTAATAGTCATTTTGGCCCCAAGGAAGCGATAGAATGCTCCATTTTAACTTATATTCCTCAAAAACTCTACACCCTGGTAGGCAGAACCCTATATCCCCCACATGGTGGTGCCGCTGAACTGCGTGCTCCCTCTTGCAGTTTTTTTCTAGAAAACTCCTGATTGGGTCATTGTACATTCATATGCATGCTACACTGTTCTCAATGTATGATTTTAAACATTTTACAGGGCCATTTTTTGGAAGATCTTTGTAATCCCTTCAAAACTAACACTACTGAACCAAATAAGTATCACTGACTAATACATGTAAAGTGTTATCATGTGCATGTCGCTATTATTGGCAGAATAGTACTCAAACTCTGGCTGAGTGTGCCACAGACTCAATGGAAAGACCAAATCTATTGGCTTAGAATCATTCACTAAGGCATGTGACTTTGAGCGAACTTTGGTTGAGGTTCTCCGATACAGTGTCATAATGCAATTATAATAGGAAGATGGTCACACAGCCCTGTCACATAGTCGCATATATCGAATATAGTTTCTGTAGTAGAATGCTTGATATAGTGTATACCGGTAATATAGTGTATAATGTCCACACTTGTACTTGCAAAAAAATGCAAATACATTTGGATGAGAAAGTCTGCTGACACTGATTTTTTTCCACTTATTTCTGCTGTCCAAAGACTTCTTGTCATTACTGTGCCTTACATGCATATATAATACTTGCTAATTCTTCTTTTAGGTTCCAGACACCCCTGATGATGCAATAAGGATTTTACTAGAAATGTTCCCAGCATGCACCACTATTGAAGCACAGCATTGTTTATCTGTAACCCATGGCAACACAGATGATGCAGCTCAGCTCATCTTACACAGACAAGAAGCAGGAGATGATGATGACACAATTACCATGACAAGACAGGTACATTAACCTTTATCCTTCAAATTATATTGAAATTATGAGCAAGGTATTTATTCAAAATAGAAAATCATTGTTGGTAGATATCAATATTAGTCTCCTACAGGCATTGTGTCTACATAAATGCATTTCCTTATGTGTAACATTATGTACTTCAACAGGATTGGTAAAGTCATGTCAGAGACATTTCTATGGAATAGCATTCATTAAAACTAAAAGGGCAACAGTCAGCCAATTTGAATCCAATCTGCAAAACAAAGTGATATCCATCAAGGTCCATTAATGTCTAATGTATCAAGTTTGAAAGAAATCCGTCTGTAAACATGATGTGGTTCTGAATGACAGAAATGCTTGATCTTGCTTGCAAATGGCTGCCATTGTTAGCCATCGTGAACCAGATCACAAAATGAATGCATGTACTGCACATACATGTATGTACCCTATAAAGGTATATGATGTAGGTGTGTAAAGTGAATATGATCTGTCCAGACATGAGGTCAATCAATACTGTAAATCTGAGAATAAAAAAAGACATGTAGTGTGGAATGATACATGTATGAATTGTAAATTGTGGAAGGAGGTAGATTATGGATCAACACAGGACAGTTATGTCTTCATTGTCTTCCATTATAGGAGCATCAACCGGGAAGAAAATGTCAACAAGTTGAAAAAGATGATAAACAAGTAAAAGATTCAATTTTAAAATATGCTTATATTGGATGTGATGAAGATGATAGAGAGCATAACCCAGCACAACCTAAGTGGGTAAGTATAATCCAAGTGGGTAAGTACAGCTCAAGTGGGTAAACACAACCCAAATAGGCAAGTACAATGTACAACCTAGCACAGCCCAAGTGGGTGAGTACATCCCAAGTGGGTAAGTTCATCCAAGCACAGCCCAAGTGGGTGAGTACAACCCAGTACAGCTCAAGTGGGTGAGTACAACCCAAGTGGGTAAGTACAACCCTTGTGGGTAAGTACATTAGCACACACGGCCAATGTG